AATACATCCCTCAAGAGTTCCTTCACTCTCTCAACCCATCAGGGTTTCCCTCTGCACAGACTGGAGGTGAAGAAAGGAGTCCCTCTGATGCTCCTGCGCAACTTGGACCCCACACAGGGACTGTATAACGGGACTCGGATGATCCTGGTGGATTGGAACACAAGAATTCTCAAGTGTCGAATTCTCAAAGAGGGCAACAATCAAGTGGATGGTCAAGATGAAGCCACTGTGCTGATTCCTCGGATGAATATGGAGGCCAGTGATGAAGAGAACCCCATTCCTCTGAAGCGTTAACAATTCCCTGTGCGACTTGCATTTGCAATGACTATCAACAAGGCTCAAGGTCAGAGCATCAAGTGGGTTGGTCTGAATTTGAGGACACCTGTGTTCAGTCATGGACAGCTGTATGTGGGTTTGTCTCGGTGCACCCACCCATCAAGAGTATTTGTGATTTTCCCTGAAGATGAAGAAGAGAGAAAGACAAGCAATATAGTGTACACAGAGGTGGTTAGAAGACTGATTGAAGATTGATGTACAATAGATTGTATAAATGTGTATTTTTATATGACAAAGATTTATTTATTGAAATTGTGTTGAGGACTATGTTGAAATGATAAAGACTGGAGGGGCCAACGGCCCCTCCAGCAGAGCACGAAGTGCTCTGCTTGCTTCCTGTGCCGAAGGCACAACGGGCTTGGACTCGTCTATAAAGTAAGGGAGAAGGGTATGGGGGGGAATGTGGGAGGATTTGGGCATTTTCGCGTAGCCCACATGGTGTCGGTTATTTCGGTTGTTTTCAGTTGTGTCGGTAAGGTCACTGAAAAAAGGATCCCATGTGGTTCTGTCAAGCGGAGTTTAAATTTGCGAAAACTGTTGTCCCTTACTATACGAGCTCACTGTCCAAAATTGGGAATTGGTAAAAATTGAGCCACAATGGGATACACCAAGCAAATAGAAAGATGGGATTGGCAGGTGCTCACTGGCCCTCCATTTTGCACAACAACAATGATTTTATATGTACTGTAACTGTGATACATGATGATAAATAGTAAAAATTGAAGGACAAAAGGGATTTTGGGGGGGAAAAGAGAAAAGAGAACACCAAGCCAGTAGAAAAATGTGAAAAATGCGAAAAATGCGAAAATATAAAGATGGCAAAAATTGGCAATGGGTAAACAGGAGAATGGGAGATGGAGAATGGAGAAATGGTAGGCAACAGAAGGATGGGAGAACAATGGGAGAATGGGAGGACAACAGGAGGACAACAGGACAGGACTACAGGAGGACAAGAGGATGGGAGGATGGGAGGATGGGAGATGGGAGGACAGGATAATGGGACACGGGACAATGGGACATGGGACAACAGGACAATGGGACATGAGACATGGGACAATGGGACACAGCACAACAGGACAATGGGACACGGGACATGGGACATGGGACAACGGGACATGGGACAAGATAATTGGGAGGAAGTGTATGAGTCAATAGCATGACACAAACAGTTTGACTGAAGGTTACCTGGGACACTGGCTTGCGATCCCATGGCTCCCATGGCCTCATGCCTCGGCCAGTGGGATGCAAGCCAGTGTCCCAGGTAACCTTCAGTCAAACTGTTTGTGCAACATCCCATAACTAAAACAAAACTATATAATATTTTTAAAATGTAAGATGTAAGAAATGATTGATTTCACACAACTAAATAATATGTAGACACAGTGAGACAAGGCACTGAAGGTGCCTCCAGCAGAGCACGAAGTGCTCTGCTTGCTTCCTGTGCCAAAGGCACAACGGGCTTGGGCTAGTCATAATATTATGGGAGACCTGTTTTGTGGCTGTGTGTGGGAGACGCGTAGCTCGCTAAAGGCCACATGGTTTGCGGTTAGCTCGCTTAACCTTGATTTAGAAATTTCACATGGTTCTGTCAATTGGAGTTTCAATTTCCAAAAACCGTTCTCCCTTACTATACTGTCTGAGCCACAAGATAGAAAAAGAACACCAAGCAAATAGAAAAATGTGAAAAATGCGAAAATATAAAGATAGGAAAAATGGGCAATGGGTAAACATGGGAATGGGAAGGTGGAGAATGGAGAAATGGGGTGAATGGGGAGATGGGATGACAATGGGACAATGGGAGGAGGATGAGAGGATGGGACATGGGACATGGGACATGGGACATGGGAGATAGGAGATAGGAGACAGGAGACAGGAGGGAGATGGGAAATGAGAAATGAGAAATGGGAAAGCAGAAAATAGGACAGAGACATGGGAGAATTTTTTGGGAAGGGTAAGAGTCAACAGCAAGACACAAACAGTGAGACTGAAGTTTACCTGGGACACTGGCTTGCAAGATCAAGCCAGTGTCCCAGGTAAACTTCGGTCTCACTGTTTGTGTCTTGCTGTTGACTCTTGCCCTTCCCAAAAAATTCTCCCGTGTCCTCTGTCCTCAGAACTAAAATAAAAGTATATAGTATTTTGTAAATGTAAGATTTAATACAAATAAATAATATGTAGACATGTGCCAAAGGCACAACGGGTGTGGGCTAGTCAGTGAATTCATGAGTCCTTGATATTGTAGCCGTGGAAACTATAGAAGGATGTAATTCTGCCTCTGCTAAATATGGCTATGTATGCTGCGATAAATTTGAGTTGTTGATACATAGCCATTGATGTCTGCAAATCTAGATTACCATGAGGAGTTTGTGACGAGGTCGTGACATTGTAACATGATGACCAGCAAGAGATGGTAGTGTAATTGTATCCCCCTTGTTGAGCATTCTCATTCTCCAATACTTATGTTTCAATTACATAGCTATTCAAAGCTTTCTCGTGGAAAGCAGGTGTTTGCATTGATCATCAAATCTAGATTAGCACGCGAGTTTGTGACAATGTTGTGACATTGCACCATCGCTGCCTGCAGGGGCTGGTAGCTAGTAATGCCGCGGTTCGGTTTGGGTCTGCTCAGGTTCGGCATTTACCGATGTGCTGGTAGTTTAGCAATTCTGGTGAGCCGAGCCGCTGATTTGCCATGTGGACTGGCCTTGCAGCGTTGGCCAGCCACGCAAACCAGCTAAAGCCAGGAATGTATGAACCACAGCTTGAGCTGGTTAAAGCTGGCACAAGCCAGCTAGTAACACATGGTGAGACCTTTCCTCATTCCCTCTTTTGTTGGTTAGATGTTCTCTATTGAGCTTCTACAGTAATTTGTACTATGAACAAAGTCCCTACCTGCGTTGATGGCAGATTCAGGCTTGGAGATGTTCTGGGTTTGGGCGCATACGGTATGTGATTCTCTCCTGGTGATGATATATTGATTCACATTCAACATATGACCTGCGCTTAGCTGTTGTGTACCGCACACAAAACTTCTTAAAGGATGATTCAGTTGCTATTAAACTTGAACCCACCATCAACCACTCGTCTTTGCAGCATGAATACAACATTTTAAAACGACTTGCAGGTGGAGTTGGGATTCCCCTGCGCCTTGTGGTTTGGTAGAGAGTCGACCTACTATGCTTTGGTTCTCGACCTCCTTGGGCCGTCATTACACGATCTCTTCATTGCACGCAATCAACAGTTCAGCCTTTGCAATGTTGTGAATCTAGGAGACCAACTAGTAAGTTGCTTTACAATGTGTTGTTGCAAAGAACTGACACCATCTTTCTAGCTCTCACGTCTCGAATATATCCACTCGCACAATTTTGTGCACGGTGATATTAAACTGCAGAATATATTGGTAGGTCTCAACGATTTGAGGCACACCGCCTTCATTGTCGACTTTGGTATCGCAAAGGAGTACTGCAGCACTTCGACTAGAACCCATGTGCCATTTCGCCAAGGCCAAAATCTCACTGGTACCCCTGCATTCGCCTCAATCAACAGTCATTTGGGAGTTGAGACAGGGTCATTGTGCTGATATCAAGTCGCTGATATATACACTGATATATCTCTTGCATGGATCTCTTGCATGGTTAACCAATGACCACGAGAAGCTCTCCAGCTCTACCATGCTGGAACACAAAGTACACACTACCGTCAAAGTTTTATGTCATGGAATCCCTGTTGTGTTTGCAAGTCTTCTCATTTACACATGCTCCCTTGCGTTCTCACAGGATCCTGATTACGACTACCTTCACTCATTACTCCATGATCTTCATGCTACCTTACCTATACCAGCTTCATACTTGCTGGATTTCAGCGAGTCTGATCCTGTCATACATGCCCCTGCATTCTCCGATGAACACAGTGTGGCTAAGGCAGTGCCTTCATCTCCGCTGAAAGCAACGCCTCTTCATAAATCGACTTGTGTGTAAGTGCTCCCTTTCATCTTCATACTCATGAACTGAGGCTTGTTTTTTTGGAAGTTTACGCCCGCTGTGGGTACAACAAGTGCAGCGGAGAGAAATCGATCTACTACACAGTTGGGTCTTTGCTGCCTACTGCCTCACTTGAGAGCAAGCACGTTCGACCCTAAAGGGGATTGCTACTGGGGAGTACTAGTCTCTGTCTAAACGACCCTAATCAACCCTCCCGCAGGTAGGATGAGGATCCGCAAAAATGCGGAACAAGCAGAACTCACACGGAACAAGCGGAACCCCGAGTGGAACTCAAGCGGAATGGAAAGGAATGAAATGGAACTCAAACGGATAAAGCGCGGAACGTACTGATTCGTCGGAACTCGCAGGTGAAGTTGAAGGAAGTATATCACAAGGTTAGATTGATAGTGGGCATAAGTCAAAGCGATCCTCTAGTAAGGTGAAGGAAAAGTGGGAAGGTAAAAGATGGGATTCCCTAAAATACCCCCAAGCCCTGAGTACCACTACTTAAAGGGAAGATTATTTTTAAGGAACACTGAGGTACAGGTAGTAAGTCTCTCAGGAAGCGGAAGTGAAGGCAGGCAGTGCACATGGGCGCAATACTCCGGAATAGGGGTCCATGCCATAAGGGCATGTGTCAGTTTGATCCGGATAACATTAGGAACAGCGGGAAGAGGAATACAGCATACCAATGGACCTGGAAGGATGGGGACAGGACATGCAAAGGTTGTCCGACGATGCGCAGGAATATCGGATAGTGCGGGCGGGTTCCAAAGGATGCGCGGGAATGCGGAACCCATCGGACGATGCGCAGGAAATGCGGAATGTGTGGAATACGCGGAACTGATGTGAGACAATGCAGAAAGGACGGGGTTTTACACCTACAGTGGGGGAATTCCCCACACCATGTAACAGCCCACTGCAATGTGCTAGATAAATCATGACACTGTTAAATATGTGTAGTCGTATACTTGTACATATCTTCTCACTAACAGTATCCCATGTATACCATGCTGTTCTGCACCCTGTTGGATTGTACATTATGTCCTACTACCATTCTGTATGCCCGCGCATTGTATCAATTACATTGTTTGTATGCTACAGCAAACCACACTGTACCATGTCCTATCAATGCAGTACTTGTATGATGCTCCAAATGCCACTTTGATAAACTGCGCGATACAACCGTCGAGTGTGCAATACACATGTTGAGTGTGCGATACAACCTACTGACAGTGCGCGACATAACATACAAGTGTGTGTGTATCAACCATGTGGCATTAAGGACTCAGATGCAAGAAGAAATTTTGAGGCTAAGAGTAAGATCATCAATCGAGGTAGGGTATCATATGACAGGATTCATGTGGTATCTGCCTTGCAGCGTGACAATTGGCAGTAGTAATATTTTACTTCAGTCCATGCCATGATGGGAATTTGCAACTTGCAAGGGACTCATCAGAGTCATCACTGAACATCCTACCCTCAAAGCTCATCAAATCTAACATATAGCTAGCAATTCAGCCACACAGACCATAGTGCAAGGTAATGTTGATGTTGATCAATGACTAGTCACTGAACATTTATTGACAGACTCCAAGATCCCTCATTGCACGCCTACCAGGGGACTTTCCATCAAACGTGTTGCTGCCCTTTCACTGGATGACTTCATTGGATGCCGCATGGGGGATATTCCATTAAATATGATACTGCCCTTTCGCTCAATGGTGAGGTAAATTTTATTTTACTCGATCGATTCAACTAATCACAAGCCTGTCCTTTTTATAGGCCTCCCACTCTATCGATGGAGTAACTTTCAACCCCGTGGATTAAGGTTAGCTTTAGTTCAAATCGGCATTTTCAGTGTCTGACAAAGGTTTATATAAACACTTGATTTTGTCCTTAGATCATCACCACCAGTCTACTACCAACATGCCAGGTCGCCGGCGTGTACAGTCAGCTACTGCCATGCCTGCTGCTGTCCAATCCCCGCCATTCCCATCCCTGCTGTTCCCATCCCCACTGTTCCCATCCTTGCTGTTCCCATCCCCACTGTTCCCATCCCCACTGCTGTTGGTTCAATTGCAAATGCACTTACAAAACCTCATTGAAATCGCCAGCTCCCTCGCAGATATCAGGATAATGCTTCAATCCACACTGACCCCAGTCGTGCTCAACCTATGGCTGATGAAGGGGAAATCTTCAATCTTGACAATATCTCTGATGACAATGAAGAGGAAGAGGATCACCCACCTGCGCCTAGAGTTATGGCTCCCACAGTCCCTAGCCCGCTTCAGACAGTCATTAACAGCCCATATCCCACACAAACTGATCTCTTGGCTACCAGTGGTCTCACAAGAAAGGCTAAAGGTGCTGATGATGTTCATTTCTTTTACAGACTGCATCCAACTACTGGGCGTAATGTTTGCATACTTTGTGAGTGAGTATCATACCTGCCGTTCTTTTTTTCTCTTACATCTTTCGCCAGACGACTATATGAACTTGACACAACATACAAGGTCACGTCGTATAGCAGTACCACAAGCAATACAGGTCCTCATTTTCACGTATATAGCCATCATACCATCCTTTACTTGGAGGAGGCAGGGCACCATGATTGGCCCATACAGATCAAGCCTCTAAATGCTCTTCTTGAGCAAGGATGGATGGTCACGACGATACGTGAAAGGCTCAGGGATCCATCTTGCACAATGGATTCACTCGGAGACGTCCCTAATTGTGATGACATACTGCTTGGAACCAGGCAGTCAGGTTCTCTGAAGGATGAGATACCCAACTTCACTGTTGACGAGATGCATCAACAGCTTGTGAGGTTGTTGTGGCAGATGATCAGGTGGGTTACTGTTCACTTCCTATGCGCTATTCTTAATAACGCCTTCAGGCAATCAATGTCATGGAATGTCCCAAATTTCGACATTTGATTCGTCTTCTGCGACCTGAGTTAAATGATAGCGACATCTGCCATTGCACAAAATTTCGGGAGTTTATCCTTGAGGCTTTTAACGAGTACTTTGAGGTCCTGAAAAGGGACCTTGCGGTAAGTGGTACAGTTCTCAAGGGTCGCGCAAAATATCTTAAATCTTCCAGATGGCGCAGGGAAAGATCTCATTTATGTCTGATCTATGGTTGGACTCTAACCTCCCCCATTCATGGCCATCACCACCCACTGGATTGCCAAAGATGAGCAAAGTTCTGTGCTTATTTTGAAGGCAGCATTGATAGCTTTCAATCACACACCGGGGAGTCACATGGGAGACTGCTTAGGGTGATTGATATTGGGCCTCCTCGATCGTGCTGAAGTAACTGAGAAAGTGAGTGTTTTAGTTGTACTGCATGGCATGCTCTGAATTCACTTAGTCCGGTCAGTTTACTTTGGATAATGCCGGCAATAATCACACGTCTATGGCAAGAGTACTCACACCTACTGCGGGAACGGGGATAGAGTTTGATCCTGTTGAGCACTGAATTCCGTGCTTCCCCCATATAATCAACAT